TCGCTATGAGTTTCGATCTACTCCATGGTTGTGGGTTTGATTTTTTTTTTTTTCTCTCTTCAGACATCTCCCATCATAGCATCTTTCTTGTAACTTCAGCTTCTCCTTCAGTTTGTTGTGTTAAATAGCAGAAAGAGCTTGCCCCAATCTTGCTGTTTGCTACTCTTGTGGTCTCTAACTATAAAATCAGAAAACAACATCAAGAAACGCAGCTGCCGTCATTTAGGTGACCACACGTGTCTCCGAGCTGAACTGCTGTATAAACCTCGATGGCTCAGAGCTTTCTGAAGTAGTCCTCCAGGGCTTTCTTCCAGCATGCCTCTGGGTGGGTTCTAATCACCAACCTTTGATTTAGTAGCCCAGCAGTTAACCTTTTATGCCACCCAATATCTTCCTAGAACGATCAGATTCTCTTTATACAGTTCATTGTTTTTGAGAATAGGAGATTGCTTGCCATTTGCAAAGTCCCACACATTCATAAAGCATAACGATTATTCCTGGACCCTTGATGGCTAACCTATGCTGTAGGGTCCACAAATCTCAAAGCCACCCCCACCCCCACCCGACCCCCCTCAATCTAGCAATGTCTTCAGCCACTGCCCTGTTCCCCTATCTTTGAATCCTGGCTTCTTCAAAGCTTATGTGCCCCTCGTTCCCTAACTTCCTTGCCATCTCCTCACTCCTCCACGCCTGGAACACAGTCTTTACCAGAGCCACTCAATTGAAACTGCTGGTCCTCTTTAAGAGCTAAACTGCACGATTGATGACCTTACCTTGCTGAGTATCTATGTTCCGTGTTAGCCAGTACTGACAGGTTAGCAACACGTTTCACTCCAGCTCCATCTCCCACATCCAATTCATTGACAAGTCATGCCATTTCTACCTCTGCCACACATCGTGCCTGTGGATAGGTTTTTCTTACTTCCAGGGCCACCCCTTGAGCTTACTTTTCATTTCGTTTCCTGGTTTAGCACAAAAATTTAATTTTTCTGCTTTCAATCCCTGTTTCTTCTCACCCATCATGTCGCAGGCTAGGAGATCAAACTCCCTATATCCTGGCTTCTGGCATGTTCTTCCAGAGCTGACATGGATGTCATCGCAGGTCAGAGCCACTCCCCCTGCATGTGGCCCCTTACTTCAGCCTGGGTTAGCTTTCTAAGCTCTCTCCCATCACTTCCTTGCCGCCTCCTCACTCCTCCACGCTTTGAACACAGTTTTAGCTGTGTTCCACCACTTTCTTCTCTGATCGCCTCTGAACGTGGGCATGCTCCTACTTCCTCCGCAAATCATTTCAGTGAAATGGCCAGTTACAAATTAACATCACCCGAGGCCTCCTGAAGCTGATCCAGCTTCCCTCACCTGATAGCAAGAATTTATCACCCGAAGCCCAGAGATGCCTGTAGTCCTGTCAGCTGTTTTCTTCCCATTGTTATAGTGTAATGGGCTTTTTGACTTCTCTCTAAAAACCAAACCGCCATCCATTCCATGGCTTAAAGGAGCCTGCTTCCTAGAATTACATAAGAAACACATCCTCTGGCACTGTAAACTCTGTAAGCATGAACCTGAGGAACAGTAAATTAGATATTAAATCAGACTACTTCCTCAAGGTAGGCTTGAAAATGCTCAAGATGCCAGGTGAAAGTTCATTTATTTTACCTCACCTGACAATGCGTGAGATCATGTCATTTCCAAGGAATTGGGGAAGGAGGGTCACAGAATATGCTGGTGTTAGGAAGCATTCCTAGTGGCGTGGTTGACATTCATCAAGCATCCTAGTTGTGCAGTGGTGAAAGTGCTCAACTGCTAACCACGAGGTCTGCCCTTTGACCCTTTCAGCCATCCTATGGGAGGGAGATGCAGCAGTCTGCTTCTGTAAGGATTACAACCTTGGAAACTCTGTGAGGCAGCTCCACCCTTGTCTTGCACGGTTGCCATGAGTTGGCAACAATTTAATGGCAATGGGTTGGTTTGGGTTTTGTATTTTAGCATTCATCTTGTTCCTGTCAGTAGAGCTTACTCTAGTCTCCACTGCCCGCTCTGTCCTCCTCGTGTGATCACTTACAGGTGTGCAGATTGTTTAGGACTTTAAAATTGGCAAGTCATCTCCCATCCTTAAAATAAATAATGAAATGGCAGTGCCGGAAAATGTTAGCCTGTTGTGCTTAATAACCCTTAAAGGTGTTTGCATTCAATGGGGTACCACTGGAGGCAGAAGCTGTACAGAAAGACCAATGGAGTTCATTTCACTACATCCATGACTGACTACTTTCTTATCTGGTACGGAGCAATCATGAGCCCTTCAGGATTTTATTTTCCTGAAAGGAGCCCTCGTAGCATAACACTTAAGCTCTCACCTGTGCACCAAGAAGTTTTTGGTTGACCCATCAGTCCCTTTGACAAAGATGTGATGCTTCCAAAAAGATTGACAGCCCTGAAAACACTATGTAGCAGTTCTAGTCCGTCCTATAGGGTCCCTATGACTTGGAATTCTATTTGACAGGAGATTAGAGTTTGTTTTGCTTTGTTTTTGTGGAGGGGGTGTTAATCTTTCCGAATATTATCCTTGCCCCCATTTGAAAGATGAGCAAACAGAGGCACATTGAGATGTTTTAACTTGCCAAAAGTTAGGTGCCTTGTAAGTGGTGGAGCTGAAGTTTGAACCTGCTTAGAAATCATGCTTTAATCTACAAGCTGTATTCCACTACCATTTGACTTGAAGATAGTTACCTAGGGTCATAAGTGAGGGAGAGAGGAGTTAAGAGGGTATTGGGCAGCATGCCTTGATAACCACCAAGCTCTCTGCCATCAGGTCAAATTTGGCCCATGTCGGTCCCATAGATATTATAGAGCTGCCCTGGTGGGTTTCTGAGACTGTAAATCTTTATAGGCATAGAAAGCCTTATCTTTCTCCCTCGGGGCAGCTGGTGGTTTCAAACTGCTGACCTTGTGATTAGCAGCCCAACATGTACCCCACTACATAACCAGGTCTCCTATCAGAAAGCCCTATCAGAATCCTAGGATTAAAGTGGCAATTTCCAGGCTCCAAAAACATTTTTCATTTTTCAGCCCCCTTTAAAACTCTGAATACAAACCCACTGCTATTGAGTAGCTTCTGACTCCTGGTGACATGATAGGGTAAGGCAGAACTGTTCATTAGGGTTTCCAGGACTCAATCTTTATGGGAACATACAGCTTCGGTTTTTCTCCCTCAGCACAGCTGGTGGGTTTGACAGGCTCAGCTTGTGGATAGCCACCCAAGGCAGCACCAGGGTTCCTTATCACCACCACCCCCTTTAAATGTTTAAATAAAGCAAATTGAGTTCTTACCTGGACACCAAATCTTCAAGGGCTTAAGAGCGGAGTTAGATAGCGCCTGCGAGTTCAGTCTGATGCATCCGGCTTTTCACATATGCTGGGAGAGGGGTTAAGTGAGATAGGCCAACTCTGGGTCTAGGACCTCTGATAGATATCAGGTGACGGGGAAATCAGCAGCTTCTGCCACCTTGGGCTTTGCCCCGATTATTTTGGTTGAACACACTCTTACAAGAGCCGAAGTGAAACCAGGACGTTTCACTTCTTGAAACCGACCCCAGGGGACTGCCTGGTGAGCTTCATGCTATTAAGTGGAAGAATTTTATAGCCCCCACCCTGCAAACAGGTGTGGGTAGTGGGTCCCCAAGGACAAGAAGGACTCTAGAAATTCTCCAAAGATGGGCTTGTGGGACTGACATTTACCTTTTTATTTCATTTTTAAGGGTCAGTGGAGAGGAGGCATCCATGCAGATAGATTCAAGATTAATTAAGTCCATACACTAGGGAGCATTGAATGTAGTCGTCTCCAAATATTTGTTTCGTTAGCTACCTAAGGCTATATTTAGGTGATTATTTGCCTGCCTAATCTAAAGTGCTGAAGTATGGTAGTCATATTTTAACAGTAAGACCATCTGCCGTTGAGCCAATTTCAACTCACATCAATCCCATGTATTTTCACAGTAGAACTGTATTCCATAGGGTTTTCAATAACTATGGTCTTTCAGCAGCCCTTGTGGCACAGTGGGCTAAGCATTGGTCTGCTAATCCTAAGATTGGCAGTTCAAGCTCACCAGACACTTTAAGGAAGAAATATGAGATTTTATACTTTCATAACTATTTGTAGTCTCAGATACCCTACGGAGCCATTATGAATTGGAATCTATTTGATCTTTTGGAAGTAGATCACTAGACCTTTGTTCCTACTCCATCTCAGTCTAGAAACTCCATTGAAAATTGTTCAGCACCATGGACACATGAAAGCCTCTACTGCCAGAGAGGTGGTAATTATGTGTGAGGTGCTTTGGCCAGGGATTGAACCTAGGTCTTCCGCATGAGAAGTGAGAATTCTACCACTGGCCTATCTTTTGGCATTTGTAAGATTTATTGGTAACAACGGTACCTGGAACATAGTATACTAGTAGTTCCAAAATTGCTAAACTTCAATAGCTACTATTCTCTTTTATAGTAAGTGACTCTGGGTATTGATGAACTTTCAGCATTGATGTAAAAGTCGTGAGCCAAGCCACTCTGCCAACCAGCTCCTCTTTCCATGTGTTGATGTAGTAGAAGTCATTGAGTGGAGCCACTTGGAAGAATTAGCAGGAGCTGTCACCATCCAACGAATTAGATGACTTGCCACCCAGACCTGGGTTTGGTTCCTTTCCCTGTTTGTACAGAAACAATAACTCACATTGTTGTTCATTAGTTGAATGAATGCATGGCTAACAGAGGAGGTTGGCACCAATATGACCACAGGGATTAAAGAAAGGAGGAGATAATATTGCAATCAGTCAGGGTGTGTTTTATCCGCCAGAATGTCTCTAACCGCCTTCCCCACCTTGGATCTCCTTTTTTGCTCCAAAGAGTTGTCCGCCTTAAGATTGTATGTTTTTCTTCACAAGCAGCATTCATTTCTAAAGAATGTTAGAACACCTCTTTCTTTTTACAATGCTATTCCGCGTCATCTCTCATAATTACTTCAGGCTTATTGGCCCCCAAAGATTGAGAAAAACAGAGCAATGAATAATTCGATAACGGTGAAGACCATCAGCATAATAAAAATCCCCTGTAACAGAAGAAAAAGAAAAATGAAGGCGTATGGTGTTAACACAGTAGCAGTGTTTTCTGAAGGCCGCGGTTCGAACCCACAGCTGCTCCAGAGAAGAGAAACGAAGCTATCTACTCCTGTAAAGGTTTAAAGTCTCAGAAGCCCAAAGGAACAGCTCTACTTTGTTCTACTACATTGCTACAAGTTGGAATTGACAGTGAATTTGGGTTTCTTTGCAGAGTTGGGAGGATATGACAACTTGTCTCTTTCATTCAAAATGTTATTTTAATGTATTCATTTACACAATTTAAATTTTTATTGTGATTTGAGTGAAGGTTGCAGCACAGATCATCAGTTTGACTTTCAACAACTCATACGCATCATGTTTCATCTCATTCATTGCAGCCTCCTTTATGTAACATCATTCATTCCGCTTCCTTCCTGCCTTTACTGTCTCCATTTCCCTTTCTCTTTCTTCCCTGATCTCTGTGGATACATGCTGCTCCTTGATCACAAATGGAAGTGCACATCTCCCTAGTGTTAATGTTCCCCGTATGGACCTGTACACTGTTTGACTGAAAACTGAGCAGGAGGGTGGGTGTTCAGTTCCATACCTGAAGGGTGATCAAGGGTCACAGTCTCAGGGTCTCCACTAGTCTCTAATTTGAGCAAGCCTGCTCCCTTTCATGATTTTGAGTTTTGTTCCACCTTTTGCTACCACCTTATATAGGATCTTCTAATGCAATCCCTGTCAGAACAGTTGAAAGTGGTACCTGGACACACTAGTCCTTCTGGTCTCAGGGTCATGGTAACTGTTTTTTGCTTGGTCCATTCACTCATCAGACTCATTGTTTCCATGGGCTTTATTGTCATCATTCTCTTTTCCCTCTCTCTGGACAGGGCAGTAATACCAGTAGTTATACCTTAGATGGCCACTCACAAGCTATTAAGATCTTGTTACTCACCACAGTGGGACGTAGATTGCAGAACCTTATTTTGTGGCCTGTGTTATGCCAATTGACCTTTGTGCCCTCCCAAGACTATGGTGTTGAGTCTCCAGGCTCAGGACCTCCTTCCCTCAAAGTGTTTGGTCATGTCTAAGAAATTTTCATAAAGTTTCCCTCTGTATGATCTGCTACATTCATAGAGTGGCAGCCAGGTAAATACCCATGTACAAACATCCTCTGTCAAACCTGTGTATAATTATGGGTATAGCTCTAACTTCTTCTCCCACACCCATTTAGCCTGTATTACTATCCATGTGTCTGTCATTGTCATTGCAGGATTGTGTATATAACAACAGTTGCCTTGGTTGCCTTTAACTCTTGCATCCCTCTCACTATCTTTCTTGCCTCCATCATGTTGTACCAACCTCCCTCTAATTGTATACTGCTTTTCTCTTCATCCACGTTCTTGACGTCTACATGCTTTTCTCTCTGTTTGTAACTTTTGTAACTATACTTTTCACCCTTTATAGTTTGTGATCATCTTTGTTACAAATTGATGTCTCTGCTTCCCAATTGATATCTCTGCTTCCCTACAAATCAGTCTTGTAGATTTGTTGAACTTTGGATACTTCCATCTCTGGGTTTAAGCATGTTGCTAGGAGAGATGAGCGTCTTTGAAAGGACAGCATGCTGAGTTAAGTAGGCCAGTGACAAAGAGGAAGACTCAGTGAGATGGATTGACACGGTGTCTATAACAATAGGCTCAAAAAACAATTTGAGGATGGCACAGGACTCGGCAATGTTTTGTTCCTCTGTGCATGGGCTCTCTGAGTCACGGGTGACTCGAGGCAGCTAGCAAGAACAGTCGCATCTTTGGGTTGCCCTCTGGGTGGTGGTGTCAGGTATGTGAATCTCAGTTCTTGTATGTCATTGCTCCTCTGTGCCTGAAGATCTCCCTTTAGTGTTCTTTGTGAAGCTGGCCGGGTTTTATAAAGTCCTTTAACTTCTTTTTATTAGCAAATGTCCTAATTTCATCTTCATATTTGAAGGAGAATTTTGTTGGCTCTATGAATCTTAATTGGCAATCTTTTTTTTTTTCTTTCAAAAATGGCTTTCTTGCCTGTATGACTTCTGCTGAGAAATCATGAGTCACCTTTGTATGTAACTTTTCATTTTTCCCAAACAACTCTTAGGATTCTTTCCTTATCTGTTGATTTGGAAAGTTTGTTAATTATATGTCTTGGTGCTCTGTTCTGTTTGGGGCTTGTTCATCTTCGTGAATATACAGTTTTCTTGTCTTACATAATGTTAGTGGTTTTATTCAAACTTTTCAACAATTTGCTCTGTATTTGTGTGTGTATGTGTGTGTGTGCTTGGGGTAGGGGAGTTGTCTCTACCTGTTCTGGAGTTCTGATCTCATGCTAATCTTCTTGATGATTTGCCACATAGTTCTTAGATTTTCTTCTGACTTTTCCCATTTCTTTTTGATTGTTTTTTTACCAGATGAGCATTGAGAGATTTGTCTTAAGTTCACGAATTTAGCCTTCCATTGACTCAATTCCACTCCTTTGTCCTTTCAACTTATTGTACCTTTCTGAATTCTTACTATTAGTTGGGGGTGGGGTGGGGGGGAGGGGAGATTTCTTTTTGCTGTTGTATGATTTTTTGTTTTTCACTTATTTTGTCAATTTGATTTTGTAGTGTTTTCTTTAATTCCTCTAAAGTTTGTTTCCTTTGCTTTCATCCACAGCTTTAGTTATCACAGTTCATTGAAGAACCCAAATATTATCCTTTTGAATTCATTATCAGGTAGCTCCAACACTATTTTCCCCTTAGAAAGGTCTTCTGGCTCTGTATTTTGGCCACTTGTTTGAGCCACTCAACTCAAGATAAGGAGAAACAAAAATATGGTAGTGATTGGAATTTGAAATGTTCAAAGTATGAATCTAGGAACAGACAGGAAAGAAAGAAAACATCAAAGTGGATATAGAAGGGACTATGAAACTTGCTTTTAATCATAGAGTACCTAAAGGAAATGGAGGAAAAGATGATGTCAAAGAGCTGGATAGAAAATTTCAAAGGGCAGCTCAAGAAAACAAAGCCAAGTATTACAGAAAACCAAAAGGGAAGAACATGTTCAGCATATCTTAAACTGAAAGTTGAAGAAACTTCAAGCCTCAAGTTGCAATCTTGAAAGATTCTATTGGTCAAATATTGAATGATGTAGGAAGTGTCAAGAGAAGATGGAAAGAATACACAGAGTCACTGTACCAAAAATAACTAGTCAACATTCCACCATTTCAGAAGGTAGCATATGAGCAAGAGCCAATGATGCGGAAGGAAGAATTTCAAGCTGTGGTGAATTCATTGGTCAAAAATCAGGTTTCAGGACTTGATGGAATACCCAATGAAATGTTTCAACAAACTGATGAAGTACTGGAAACATTTACTCATCTGTGCCAGGAAATTTGGAAGACAACTCCTTGGTCAACTGGCTGGAAGAGATCCATATTTGTGCCTATTCCAAAGAAAGGTGGGGGGGACCCAACAGAATGCACAAGCTATAGAACAATATCATTGATATTGCGTGTAAGTAAAATATTGTTGAAGATCATCCAGCAACAGTTGCAGCAGTACATTGACAGGAAACTGTCAGAGGTTCAGGCTGAATTCAGAAGAGGACATGGAACAAGGGATATCATTGCTGATGTCAGATAGGTCTTGGATCAGGACAGAGAATTCCAGAGAGATGTTTACTTGTATTTTATTGACTTTGCAAAGGCATTTGACTGTGTGTACCATCAAAAACTATGGACAGCCATGCGAAGAATGGGATTTCCAGAACCCTTCATTGTGCTTTTTGGGAGCTTGTACATAAATTAGGAAGCAGCTGTGCAAACAGAACAAGGGGATAGCACATGGTTTAAAATCAGGAAAGGTGTGCATCAGGGTTGGATCCACTCATCATACTTGTTCACTTTTTATGCTGAGAAAATAATCAGAGAAACTGGCTTCTATGAAGAACAACGTGGTATCAGGATTGGAGGAAGGCTTATTAACAATCTGTGATATGCAGATGACACAACCTTGCCTGCTGAAAGTGAGGAGGACTTGAAGCACTTGCTGATGAAGATCAAAGATTGCAGCCTTCAGTATGAATTAGAGCACAATGTAAAGAAGACCAAAATCCTCACAACTGGACCAATAGGTACTATCATGATAAATGGAGAAAAAGTTGATGTGTGCAAGGATTTGATCTTCCTTGGATCCACAATCAGTGTTCATGGAAGCAGCAGTCAGGAGATCAGAAGGTGTGGTGCATTAGGTAAATCGGAGGCACAGACCTTTTAGACTAAAATTTAGAGAGTTGAAAAGCACAAATGTTGCTTTCAGACTTAAGTGCGCCTGACCTGACCCATGGTATTTTCAGTTGCATCATCTGCATGGGAAAGTTGGACACCGAATAAGGAAGATCAAAGATGAATCGATGCATTTGAACTGTGTTGGAGAAGAATATTGAAAGTACCATGGGACAAACAAATCTGTCATAGAAGAAGTACAGCCAGAGTGCTCCTTTGAGGCAAGGATGGAAAGACTTTGGGTATACTGTCAGGAAAGACTAGTCCCTGGAGAAGGACATCATATTTTGTATAACAGCGGCGAAGAAGAGGAAGACCCCCAACGAAATAGACTGACAAGGTGGCCACAATGATGAGCTCAGGCCTAGAAACCATTGTGAGGAGGGAGCAGGACTATGCAGGGCTTCGTTGTGCATAGGGTTGCTTTGGGTCGGAACTAACAACAACAACAACATTTTGTTTCTTCATGTGAACGGAAATTACCTGTTGGTTCCGAGATATTGTGGTGGTGTGTTTGTATTTAATTTGTGATTGTATGTTGGTGTGGATCGAAAATGTGAGTTTGTGTGCAGTTCTCTGTGTGGTGTTCATGTAGCACCGTTGGGGTTTTGATTGGGGTGGGCTATTGTCTGTTGATGATTATGTGATGCAGGACTTGGTTGTGGCTATGGTGAAGTAAATTTTCTTAATGTGGGTCTTCTAGCCATAATCC